TAAATGTTAAAAAGAAAAAAAAAAAGACTTTCTAAAATCTCAGTTAAATGACACTTGGAAAAATCACTGGTACTTGGGCAGCTGCCCCCACGGACAGAGCTGCACGAGCGTCACCATCTCCCGTCTCCGCTCCGATCCTGCAGCTCGCGCCACCAAACCCACACACAGGCTGGAGACGGAAGGTTTCCGCAGCCACGTCTACACCGACTCCCCGGCCAGAGTGCCGGGCAGAAAGCAGGCAGGCACCGGCTGCGGCTCAGCTCTGGCGGACGGCTCGGCCGCCCCCGCGTGTCCCGCTGAAGCACTGCACGGCGAGCGCTGGCGCGGGCGGGGGCTTTGGCGCGCTGTCGCGCACATGCGGTGTCACGCCGTCATCTCAGTGACGCTCGTGCTGCACGGCAGGGGTCGAGGTCCCTCCCTCACGTCAGGGCCGACTTCCAGGGCACAGGTGGGGCCTGCGTGTGGCTGAGCGGGGACAGCGCCTCAGTTTCCTGGGACCTTGATGACCTCAGAGTCCGGCCCTCCTACTGGTGCCAAGAGATGCCGCCAGGCTGTTAGGCTGAGCGGGGATCATTATGGTAAATTATGGTAAAACCGCCCTGCGCACTCCCAGAGAACCGTCCCCGCGCCGGAACCGGGTGATTGTGTTGACCCTCAGTCCTCAGCTTTCGTCGTTGTGACCTGGGAAAGGTTTGTAACCGCTCTGGGCTCAGCTGTGCCACGGTGAACCTTTATCTTGAGCACCCAGGAAGGGCACAGTAATTCCTGTGCACACAGAGCTGCGAGCGGTAAGCGTCTGTTCTTGATCACTCACTCAGTCCTGGGCGTTTCGTTACAGCGGCACAAACGCACCGAGTCAGCTGCACAACTATAAATTTACTAAATATTGACTTGTGTACTCAGAATGGGTGAATTTATGGTACGTAAACTATACCTCAATAAAGCTAGGTTTTTCTGAAGAAAAAAAGCACAGGTAATTTATTTATTGCTCATTAATTTATCTCCCATTAAATGCTAAATACTGTGAGCCCGAGAGAGAGACAGACAGGAATCTAGAACCCAGCCTGTTCTGGGTAAGAAGACGCCACGCGGCAACGACAGAGCTCCCACCACGTCCGTGGGTGGAAAAAGGAAAAGGCGGAAGAGTCGTCTCAACTTATTTCTTCCCCAAGAGCTAAAAACCGACCGCCATACAATCCCTGCACGGGATGCAATTCAACCAAATCTGCAAGACAGTTAAAAAGTACTACCTCTGCCAGCTTCAGATGAAGAACAGCATTTTCCATGTCCAGCTCAACTATCCTTTCTTCTCTGACCTACAACCAAGGATCCAAAAAGGAAAATTGTCAGCAGAGCACTTCTCGGTGTCCTGAAGCCACAGGAATCACGCTGACCCGCCACGTCCACCCTCCGAACGCAGAGCACACGGAAGACAAAGCACAGCCCCTCCGGAAAGAGCCACGGTCATGTGCCACAACATCGCCCGGCCAAGGATGGGCCATGCACACGCCAGCGGTCCCGCAGGATCACAGCACCTCATCGCACCTTTTCTATGTGACGGTACAGGAAGCCATGACTGTACCACACAGTAGGACAGGGAGACAGGCCACCTGTGACCCCGACGGCCTGCTCCCTGCCACCAGCCACGCTACAGCGAGGACCCCTCCCTTCTTCCCTGTGTGGCCCCAAGACCAGCAGCAGTGGCCCCTGGGGGTCACTAGAAATGCAGGACCTTGGACCCTCCCACCCTCTTGCCCAAAAGAGAGACTTGCTGGGAATGATGGGGGCTGTCATGGCAGCCAGGACACTGGGCAGAGCCCTGGGGTGGGTGGGGCTGAGCCTGGCAAGTCCAGGCCAGCGCAAGTGGGTGAGGAAGCTGAGGTCCAGGCGGCCAGGGCACGGCCTGGGGTGTTTGTAAGCCAGGAAAGAGCATGTGTTATACCAATGTCTACAGGAGGGCACTGGAAGGTTCTAAGCAGAGGAGTTAAGTGTTAGCTATTTACAGTAAATGCTGAGAGAGCCAGTGACTGGAGAACCTAGGGAAAGGCAACCCCCAGGTTTTAGGAAGGTGGGTTGAGGTGCAGTCCCTCCTGCCAGAGATTCCTCCTCTCCCAAGCCTGCTGACAGCTCACAAAGAAGCTGTGATCGTTTTAGGACAATCTTGCTTGTGTTTCCAAACTCTTCGTGATTGGTTATACTAACATGAAGCCTGGGAGTC